CTTAAGTGGTTTAAGGTGGATCTTTCCAATCAGAGAGCAGATCAGGATTGGACAAAGTTTGTGATGTTATAGTTTAGGTTTGGCAGATACAGAGAGGGAAAAGCCTGAAAGTTAATCTTGATAAGCAAACTATTGTTTGCTGAGAACATAGTTTGTCCGGGTGAGTAATCTATTATCCTGATAGGAGAGCTGTTTGCACAGAGGAGCAACTATTTAATCAGACAGATTGGCTTGCAGAAATTCCATGAGGCAAACAGTGAAGTTATTTATTGGTTTACAGTCATATGTTCCTAGGCCTGAACTTCCTGGAACAATTTGTTAAATCATGTTGCCGTAGGAAGTCTCTGCTCTCACTCCCAGTAGTTAAGTTACGTGGGTGTAAATGATCTGGCTTCTCTGCTCAGAAAGGAGGAGGCTATTGCATCATCATGAGCAGAGGACTGACACAATGAAGGGGGCGTTTGCGTCAGACATATGCAGGTTGGAATGCAGTGGAGGAGGTCACAGGATTCAAGGCACTGTTTCACTTCTATAGGTGAGAGTCATCAGGTGTCTCCCAGGTGAATAAACCCTCTTTTTCCTGCAGGAACTATGAGTGATTTCTCCCATCTACTGAGACTCTCTCCCAGATCAGTAGTCTAGGGACTGAATTTCTTTTACCCAAACAAGTCATTTTCCTAACAAGGCCCTTTGCTTTGCCTTGCTTTGTTTTGCACGGTGATTTCACCTGGGATTGTGGAACCCAAGGTGCCAGGTTGCCAAGAAGAGAGCCAATTTCTTCCTTCCTGGTCAAAAAAGACAGTCTCTCTAGGCCCCATTCTCACTGGAATTGGTCCTCCAGACCCCATACCGGGAGTTGTCTGTCAGAGACTTGGAGTGAAAAGTTAGAGATATCTTCTTGTCAACCAAGGGGGAACCAGTTTAGTAAATGATAACACACGTGCACAACAAAACAATATGCAGCCAGGAAATTCGATGACATAGGCTATTACTTATTAATTGATATAAAAAAATGTCTACGGCATCTCATTGAGTGAAAAAGCAAGTGACAGACTAGCTTGTATAGTATGATTCTGTTTATGAGGGCATTGAGAGACTTGTAACAAGAATGGTCACCAGTTCCCATTTTTGTAGGGGTGAGATTTCAGGTGACATTTTACTTTCTTCTTGGCTCTTTTCTGTGTTGCTTAAATTTTTGACAACCAGCGTGTATTATTTTTACAAAGACAATAAAGCTATTTTGTAGGGGGGAAGAATTATGTTGCTGTTGAGGTGAAGAGATGTGTTTTCGTAACTAAAGCAATTATGGTATAATCCTATTATTGTCTACATATAGCAAAAATAAAAAAATACCCTCAAGCATGTTTCCCAGGGTTATTTTGAAGATCAAAGGAAATAACAATTCGGAAGCCACATTAAACCTTCAATGCTGATATCATTAGCACTTTCAGTCACTTCCTGTGGGACCTGGGGATTATGTTGACATGTGTCCCTGATACATCTTGGCCTTGTGAGCCTTTTTGAGTCTCAATAATATGGAAAAAAGAGGCCCCCACAGAATGGACACTGTAAATGAAGAGGGTCAGTCTGGACATTTGGTGGAGCATCTTTGCTCCCCAGGGCCTCCCAAGCAACCCTCAGCCAAATATTGCCAGCATCCCTTAGAGATAATCAGCAGGTCCAGGTCTGCTCTTGGGAGAAACAGTCACAAATTCCCCCTGGCTCATTTCTGAACTCTAGGGATAAGGATGAAAAAAGCCAGGTGAATCTTAAGACAGGAGCAATTAGGAATCTCTAGGCTTTGTTCACAACTGTCTGAGAAGTTCTTTTGAGAAAGCTGGTCAGAGGCAATCAATAAAAAGGGGAAAGAAACACTTCTAAGAGGTCCCCCAAAACAAGGCTATGGATGGACGGGCTCTGCTTGACCACAGGTAAGTGGGCTGAGGGTGGAATCTTATTACCAGTAAGGGCTTAGACTCCCTTATCCCCTTTTCCTCATAAGTCATGCCCAACTCTTGACATCTGATCACCAGCCCCAGCACAAGGTGAATGGGGAAAGAGATGGAGCAGTGTGCAGTGAGTTTGAAATTGATTTCCTTAGGACTCTATTCTGGGACCTAGTGTATTTTACAGCTCAAACTCTCCCTGGTACATCCTATTCCCTCTTAGCCTCTACTACCAGCTTTATTTTGTGCACCAGAGACCTTGGAGTTTACTCTGACTGCTTGCTCTCCTCACGCTGCCATGGTCAGTCCATCACCAAATCCTATCACATTTACAGCCAAACATTTCTCAAATCCAGTTACCTCTGTCTCCATTAGCCCCACTCTAGTTTAAGCTATGAATCCCTCCTGGATGACTTCAATATCCTCCCAACAAATCTCCCCCAACCATTGACCTTTCTTCAATTATTTCTTCACAATACACTCAGAGTAATTTTATATTTAAAAAAAGCAGATATGACTGCCCTGTCTGGGTGGCTGAGTTGGTTGGAGCATCATCCCACACACCAAAAGGTTGCGGGTTTGATTCCCAGTCAGGACATATACCTAGGTTGTGTGTATTGGAAGCAACCAATTGATATTCCTCTCTCACTTCTCTCTCTCTCTCTCTCTCTCTCTCTCTCTCTCTCTCTCTCTCTCATTAAAAAAAGCAGATATGACAATGTCATCCTCCTGGTAAAAATTCTCTAATGGCATTCCATAAAATAAAATAAAATTCCTTAACCTGGTCTAAGGTATTGGACAATAATAGTGTAATCTCTAACCTGACCACCTGAATTTAAACCTCAGCTCTGCCACTTACCAGTTGAGTCTTTAGGCAAGATGCTCAACTACTTGGTTTTCTCACATGCAAAATGGAGATTTCAATTGTACATCTTATAAGATTGTTGAGAGGATTAAATGACATTAAAGGTATTTGGAACAGTGCCCGACACAGCAAGCACTCAAAAAATGTTATAAAACACTGACTGCCTGCTCACCTCAGCTACACACTCTCTCCCTTTGTCCTCTATCCACTCTGGCCTTTATTCAGCTCCTCCTCCTCACTAGGCTCTCTCAGACCTCAGGACCCTTGTATAGACTGTTTCATTCTTCTCCTGGAAAACTCTTCCTAGAGAAAATTTTCCTTCACCTCCCTGAGTCAAAATTTTTGGCTCATATCATTCAGTCCCTCTACTTGGAGCTATAATTTGTATGATTATTAATGCTTGTCTCCCCCCCGCCCCCAAAGTCTAAACTCCCCATGAGTAGTCCATACCATCGAAACCTACACTTAACCAATCATCACAGATGTCTAACCAATCAGAGTGAACCTTGGCCAGTATCCCATATAAGAGCTTTCCATCTCAATAGCCATCTTGGTTATTTGAAAACCTACAGACAAATTCTTAGGAGCATGACAGCAGCTGAGAGAACTTTCATAAACTGAGAACCCCTCTGGGGAGCATAAGAAGGTAGATATGTGGATTCTGTGACTGGTGCTCTCTGGTTAAAGACCTCACCTCCAATTCTAACTGAAAACTGTGTCCTGTACTGCACCCCAAAGCCACAAATCTGGCATGTCCTACTGCCTTCAGTTGTTTCCAGATAAAACATTGACCTTAGTTCTTTGGTTATAATTTTTGCTGAGCTGGAGTTTTCATGTTTACTATAACTTCTTCTTCCCCCAGACAAATATTTTTCTCAGTTAGTAGTCAATAATAACACAGACTTTATTCTAACTTGTTTTATTTCATTTTCTCTTCCTGGATTATCAGTCCTGTCAATAGAGAGAGATCAGGAAAGTCCAGTCTTCTGACATCTGCTTAGCAGGCCCCCATCAAAGCATCAGAGCCTCAATGCCCGAAGCATCTCCAACTGGGTGTGTTAGTGACTTGCATACTAACAACTGTGGTAACAACGCACCACAAACTAGCTCTAAACAAGAGAAAGTTATCTCCTCACAGTTCTGGAGGCTCCAAGTCTAAACTCAAGGTGTTGGCAGGGCCACGCTCCCTCTGAAGCCTCTCCAGTTCTGGATGCCTGAGGCATTCCTTCATAACTCCATCTCTGCCTCTGTTCCTCACATGGCCACCTGCCTCTGTGTCTGTATCTTCACACGTCATCCTCCTCCCTGATCTCCATTTGCACTTCTTACAAGTTCACCAGTCATATTGGATTAAAGGCCCAACCTAATTGAGCATGACATCATTTTAACTCGATTACATCTGTAAAGACAGCATTTCCAAATAAGGTCACATTCACAGGTATAGAGGTTAGGACTTCAACATATCTTTTTGGGAGAAACAGTTCAATTCATAACACCGGGGAAAATGACTGCTCTAGTGAGGCACATTCCATTGTGGTGATGTTAGTCTTGACTTCCTGTGTCCCTGGGCTCAGGGACTGAGCCTTTGTCCCCAAATATGGTCAAAATTGATCCTTTCATGAATTCCCTCTCTGGGACAACATGCCAGACCACCAACACCCACTAATGATGCTAGTTCCCCATGAAAGAGGATTATAATTATAAAAGTATATGATTATTAGAATGGACTGGGTTCTAATCCCACTTTCCTAATGTACTAGCTCTCTTACCTTGGGCAGGTTGATAATCTCTCCAAATATAAATGGGTCAGGAAGTGAGTTAAAACATAACTCATAATAGGTGTCCCCTCCTCAGCTCCCATAGCACTGCCCACTCTGGGGGCATCAAAAGGGTGATAGCCAGAGAGAAAGGGGTTGAAGGTAGGTGGAAGTGGGCAAAGGAGGGGAGGTGGTAATGGGGATGGAAAAAGACTTTTCTTGGGGTGATGGATGCACAATGCAGTGTGCCGATGATGTTTCATTGAGTTGTATACTTGAAACCTGGTTTTGTGAACCATATCACTCAAATAAATTCAATTAAGAAAATAATAATATGGATTATAAGAAAATAGGGGGGAGGGGTTGGGCAGAAACTGACCCCAGGCCTGCTCTAAAGTACAAGCTTGTCTTATTTGCTCTCTCTGCAGTGCCATGTGCACCTCAGTTGAGAACTGCACCCAGGTCACCTGGTTCCTCTTGCTGGGGCTCACAGAGCAGGAAGGGCTCAAGGGCATCCTCTTTGTACTCTTCTTGTTCATCTACTTAGTCACCCTTATGGGCAACCTGGGCATGATTATCTTGATTCACACAGAGCCACAGCTGCACACGCCCATGTACTTCTTCCTGAGCGTTCTCGCCTTCATGGACTCCTGTTTCTCCACTGTGGACACCCCCAAGCTGCTGGAGAACTTCCTCACCTCAAGTCAATACATCTCCTTTGCAGGCTGTGTGGCCCAGATGGCCCTCATGACTCTCCATGGTATTGCTGAGTGTCTGCTCCTGGCCATCATGGCCTATGATCGATTTGTTGCCATCTGCCACCCTCTCCTCTACCACACCATCATGTCACAACGTCTATGTTTCCAGATGGTGGCAGCCATCTATACAGCTTCTATTGCCAATTCAGCTTTGCTAACTGGGTACATCTTCAAGCTGCCCTACTGTGGCCCCAACGTCATTAACCACTATTTCTGTGACATCCCCCCAGTGCTTAAACTTGCCTGTGCAGACACTGCAGAGGTTGAAACCATCATCTTCTCATCTTCTGCCCTGATTTTCTCTTTTACCATCACCATCATCCTGGTCTCCTATGCCTACGTCCTGGTGACTATCTGCAGAATGCATTCCCCAGAGGCTCAGAGCAAAGCACTCTCCACCTGTACCTCCCACCTCACCATTGTCTGCCTTTGGTATGGCACCATCATCTTCATGTATGCTCAGCCAAGCTCTCTCAATTCCATGGAACAGAACAAGTTCGTGTCTGTCTTCTACACTGTGATCAACCCTATTCTGAACCCCCTGATCTACAGCCTGAGGAATAAAGATGTGAAGTCTGCTTTAAAGAGGAGATACTTTGGCAAGCTGCCTTCTTAAACAAGCACGGAATATTCTATCCCAAGCCACAGCATGGTAGCCACAACATAGAGAATGCATAATATTAGCACATAGATAGAGTGAAATATGTGCCAGCACTTCCGTGAGGATTAGAAGAGTTAATGTAGCCCAGCCAGTGTATCTCAGTAGTTGAGCGTCAACCTATGAACCAGGAGCTCACAGTTCGATTCCCAGTCAGGGAGAGGTAAAGAGAGATAGAAACATCAATGATGAGAGAATCATTGATCAACTGACTGCCTCCTGCATGCCCCACACTGAGGACCGTGCCTGCAACAGGGCATGTGCCATGACTGGGAATCGAACCGTAACCTCTTGGTTCATAGAGTGATGCTCAACCACCGGCCAGGCAATAAAAAAATTTTTTTTAATTTAGTTAACATGAAAATTTGATGAGATTACATTTTAAACTCCATATTCCCAGTTTCTCTGGGGAGAAAATTTTAATGATCACTCCACCAGTCTTATGCTCAGCATAATCATTTGGTGCCAAGACAAATGTGTCCTTTTAGACAAGACACAGATTTTCCAATTGTCCTCCCCACCCCAATGATTCCCACCACTCTTTTTAGAGAGTCTGCTGCCTGGTTGCCATGCCCTGAGCTTTTCCTAATAGTAGAGACATTTTATTCTATTCACATCTCTAGCAAAAGTGGGGAGGGGGGAACATGACCCTAGAAGTCTACATTTCAAGACAAATAACAAGTACCTAGAACGATGCCTGGCACAGAGAAGTTTCTCAAACAATACTCTTGGAATGAGTGAAGATAATATGTATTCTTTGGATGTGAAGAATATCCCCATAGGTATGCTATGAGCCCTTCCTCGCCCCCACCCCCAAAAAAACACAACTGTGCCCTCTTAGAAAGAAAGAAAAAACTACCTTTTTCATTCATGTAAGGCATCTGAATGGTCTTTATAGGCATTAGAGTTTGCAACCCTTGGGCCAGGGAGAAAATTCTCAATGCCTCAGTATTATCCTATAAGCCTGTCTCAACCTCATTTTCCAGGGATCACCCCACAGTTCCCACCAAATACCTCCTCTGTTGCCAGAGCCAATGACCTGGTTCAGCCCAAACAGGTCATGTATTTGTACGAAGCTCTTCCTTTGATCACGTCTTCCCCAGAGCCTGGAGGGTCATTCCCCAATCCATTTGTCAGCCTGAAAAATCTTTGTTATCATTCCAGTCCCAGCCTAAATGTAACTTCTTCTGGGAAACATTTCTGACTCTCACAGATAAAATTTATCATTCCTTTCTCTGTGCTCTAGTCTGCCTTTGTTAAAGAAAAAAAAATCAAATCTCAGAAATCAAAGATTGGATGGCTAAGTGGAAAAAAAAAATTACTTTCAAGCAGGGAGTCCAATCCAGCACAGTCTAGAAAAACTTCAGATCTGAAGATGGGGAAGGAGAAATGGGGTTGTTTTCTAAAGCCACAAGACCATGAACTATCCCTTTCCTGAGTTAGGAAAGCAAAGCTCTGGGGTATTAGTGACTGGCTGCTGACAAGTAGGTTTGGGTTTGGGTTTGGGTTTTGTTTGTTGTTTTACAATACTATTTTTTTCTAAGAAGGCAAGTGCATTTATATGAAATGAAGTACATGGTTCAACACCACTTGAATTCTGTCTTTGCATCAGTCTTTTGGAGTATAGCAGGATTAGTGCCTCTGTTAGGTTTTTACCAAATGAGAATTTTTTTACCCAAGCATTGTTGACAGTATTTAATTATTATGGCTCCCAACCAGGGATGATTTTGCACCCCAAGGGGTGTTTGGCATGATTGGAGACAATTTTGGTGGTCACACTGCATGTGTGTACATAACACACATAACAAATAGCATAACAAATAGCATTTGAAGGCCAGGGATGCTTCTAAACTTACAAGGCATGCAATAGTCCCCCACAACAAAAAATGATCTGACCCAAAGTGTCACCATGCTGAGGTTGGGAAACCCTGCTCTAACCCATTTGCAAAGGGCAGTGAGTTTGAACTTGCTGCTTGTTAGGGCATAGCCTAAAAAGCCCCTCACAAACCCAATGTTTTTTAAAAATTCATGCAGATTTTGTATTGTGCTTTTTTAAAAATATAATCCTTTATTGTTGAAAGTATTACATATGTCCCCTTTTGTCCCACTTTGACCTCCTCCAGCCCGCCCTCGCCCCCTGCCCCGGGCCCTCATCACCCCATTGTCTGTGGCCATGGGCCATGTATATATGCAAACAAGGTTCTTGGTTGATTACTTCCCACCCACCCATCCTCCCCCACCTTCCCTCAGAGATCCCACACTCTGTTCCATGCTTCTATGTCTCAGGATCCACTCCGTTCATCAGTTTATTTTGTTACTTAGATTCCACATATGAGTGAGATCATATGATACTTTTCTTTCTCTGACTGACTTATTTGTATTGTCTTAATATGAAAAAGAATGTCACAAACTGCTTACCATCAGCCTAGGTAAAGTTCCTGCTAGAGATGGGTGCTGCGGTTCTGCGTGTCCCCAGCACATCATTTGTAGCCCAGGAGGTGAAAATCTGACTTTGAGAAGCTTGGGGCTAAGGTGAGTCGGTCCATGTACCCTAACCAATGTCTACCAACCTGAGCTAATGAACCAGACCAGGGACTGGCCCAGTGGACACCTAGGTATAGAGACAATCTGGCTTGGTTGGAGGTGGTCTTCTGGGTGAGGTTGTGGCATCCAGCTGCCTCAGCAGGTACATGAGGTGCCCAAACCAGGAGGTACAAGTGCAGTGTCCCTTGTCAATGGGCAAGGAGACCAAGTCAGAGGGCTGATTATTTACCTCTACACCAGCACTCACAGAGGTAGAAGTGATCCATGAAAGAAGTGAGCCAACCAGGCTGCATGGGTTCAGGAAACAAGTTACAGAGGCAAAAGAAGGGCCCTTGGAGCTAGGAGAAAGGCAAAGAACACATGGCTGGGGAAAGGAGAGGAGAAAAGACAAGTGTGTGCCAGGGAGGGCACACCTGGGGAATTAAGGGAGTGGGGAAAGGCATAGGTGTGTGAGGAAGAGAGAGAAGGAGAGAGAAAAAGAGAGAGCATGCTGGGTCCTTCCTCTTAAGGGCTTTTATCTGGAGGTCACAGGGGAGAGTATCAATAGACTATTCATCAGCTTTCCAGGTGTGTCCCCTCAGGGTGGTGGTCTCCACTGATTGGTCAATGCCAGGGCAGGGAATCACAGTCATCGCAGCAGGTCCTGATGTCCACCATCGCATTGCCCCACTGGACCTTGCTGCTTTTCTGGGCCTAGAGCTGAAACACAACTGAGGTCTAGATGTTATCTCTAGTTTGACGAAAACTCTGCCTCTGTGGTCAACAGACATGAGGCTTTGTTCTTAAGATTATTTGACGCAGGTCAGAACTACATTGTCTTGAGGACTTAATGCTTAAGGGAGTGGCCGTGCAAGGGCTTATATGGGAATCACATGAGGCTTTTCTTCAGCCTCCTGGTTCCTCCTCTAAGGGTGTCTACTGCATGACTAGCAACATGCCAGGGGAGGAAAGGTCAGGGAGGATCCAAACTGCATGACCAGCAATAGGCTAGGGAAGGAAAAGTCACCCAGGGGTTGAGGTCCCACCTTACAATTATCTGTTGCTAGGCATCCAGGACTTTTCATTCTAGTGACCTTCTGTACCCAACTTACTGTTCCTACTCTGCTCATGTCTACCTAACTACCTACTACAGACAGGCAAGGTCAGAGGAAAAGAATAAGCAGCTAACCACCACCCCTCTCCAGACCTCTCTCCTAGAAAGCTTATCTCCAGTGGGGAGGTCTCTATGTGGGGCATGGGTCAAGTGAGTCACACCTGGGAAGGAGAATGTCTTCTCTCTCCATCAGGATGAGTTCAGGCAGGCTTGGGAGTGCAGGGGAAGGGCCATGAGTCACTAATGATCAAGAAAGCCAAGGAATGGGAGAGGACAGAGCAGACTCCTCTGCTGTGTCAGTGTTCACAGCCTCCCTCTTGACCCATGTTCAAGGATACCCAAGGCCTTTCTGAGTCAGGATAGCTAGGAAATTCCTTGACAAGTGGAATGGGGAAACTGGGGCAGGTAGCTGAACAAACTGGCTGAGCAATTTACAGCCAGATATAGAAGGTCACCAGAGCAGAAAGCTCTGGGTGCCTAACAGACAAAACTAACACCATACCTCACCCCCAGGGTGGTCTTTCCTCCCCTGGCATATTGATGATCATGCAGTTTAGACACCCTGACCTTTTCTCTCTAGAGATAACATCTAGGCCTCAGTTGTATTTCAGCTCCAGGCCTAGAAAAGCAGAAAAACCTGGAAAAGCTGATGAATATCCTATTGAGATCCTTCCCTGAGAGACCTCCCCTAAACTCTCAGCCTTTAAAACCCTCAAGTCAGAAAGACCCAGTGCACTCTCTCTCTCCCAGCAGCATGCCCCCCTGCCTTTCCCTTCCATCTCTTCTTCCCCCACAGGCATGCATCTCCTAAACTCTAAGGGATCCCAAGAGATTTGCAACCAAGGGAGCAATGGGCAGCGCCAGCTTGCCCTGGGCTAACTCCCTGAACCTATCTCCAAGGCCCCCTTTTCTCTAACTTCTCAGTGACCTGACAACAACCCCACCTAGTTTCTCTCCTGTTGCTTCTTCTATCCTAAGCCCTTCCTTGTTTCACTGTCCCCAGCTTTAATACACATACTGTCAAAATCACCTGGACTCATATTGTGAACTCTTTCCTGCACAAAGGAAGAACCCACACACTACAGGCCCGTCCAAGGCAGACACACTCCAGCCAGTCCCTTTCTGGTAACATTTCCTAGGCCCAGGGTCTCTCAGCCTTGACACTATTAACACTTGGAGCTGGATAATTCTCTGTTGGAGGCTGTCCTGTGCAGTGTGTTTAGCAGCATCTCTGGCCTCTATCTAAAATGCCAGAAGCAACTGCTCCTCACCCAACAGTGACAACCAAAGATGTCTGTCTCCAAGTCCTCTGGGGATAGGG